TGCAAGTTCTAGTGTGTTCGAACTCAGGTTACATGGTGGTATTGTACTACCCTTTCACGAACGAATGCATTTCTCTACAACCTACTAGATACGGTCTAAAACATCTAATACAAATATATGTACAAAGAGTTTCTGGATCATATCGAACACGCCGGGCAATTTGGATCATCAGTTCCTCACGATAATCGCATACCCCAGATCTACAAATCGTAGCATCCTAGGCTGATGAATCTCGGTAATGTTTCCCCTTTTATATGATGTACCGGTTATATCTACCTACTCATAAAAGTCTAAGATTGTTGTGCATTCTTTCAACAAGAGTAAATTGCATGCTCGAGGACACTTGAGAGGACATTCCGGCAATCGTTCATACTACCAAAGGAAAATAATCTTCTGCGTTTTTCTTTTGGCGAGGATAAAGGGAGGAAGGAGGCTTTTGGCTTTTATCTTCTGATTATATGTTACTGTTATAATCTGGAACTGCTGCGAATATTCGACGGAGCATAAGATCAAAGCTTACTGAATTCAGAAATTTAGACCTTAAAGTAAAGTCAGCTCACTGCTGGACAAAATCTTTGATCAGTTGACTCAGTCTATGCCAATGGTTATTCGATCTTGCATAGTTGCTGGAGTCTGAATGACCGAATACGTCTTCGATATCAGAGTCATATCGTGGCCCATCATCCATAGGTATATCAGCAAAGTGTCGCATTTTGTACGGTCAAAATTATACCTTCTCGGTCACCTAACAATTTTGAAAGCCTTGTTTGAGACACCAGGTCTCCTGTTGAATCTCTCATGCGGTCTTGCAATATAAGTCTCTAACGGTCGACGTCTATGTATATCAATAATATTGTGGGTTTGTTGATATAGTGAAGAGCTTCTGCTCTAGCATTACCCACCTTGTCACTCAGAGCGTAGGGCACTTGCCAAAGGGTGTACAACATACCCAGGCAAAATAGGTCATGGATGCTCGGAATCAACCTGCATGAATGATTCCTTGATAGGTATTTTCTATCAACGATTGACCATCAACAACCGGTCGTCGAAATCCAGCCTCCCAATCGGTACCCACAAAAGCATCTACAAAATCTTGAGTATGCCCAGTAGCCCCTCCTTGGAATCCTCCAACCCACAATGATCAAATCCCCCATTTGCCCTCTGTATTCCCTTCATGGACCCCTTTAATCGTTACCTCTTTCCTGCTTTCACCGCGTGCCTAATGCCATGCATATATCCCAGCACTTCATCATCCCCAGCCTCACAACCCCATGTATGCACTGCCTTCACAAATTCACGCCCGACGAGCACAGCAAAAGTATCACAATGCCAGCTTTTTCGATCATTCCTCACCTCTTTCATAAATCCTGTGACTCATTACTCGAGTTTGTATGTTATCGATCCGCTTTACATCTCTGTGTTTTGGGATTCAATGTTGAAACGCCTGGCTTCGCGAGTACCAAACTAGATTTATGACGCTTGTCTTTCAATCTGTGGGTTTTAATACTTCTTCCACTTGGAATCACATTAACAACAAGCCCTAGTTTTGGAACACATAACTTCCTTCTCATGTTGAAGCGTAGTATAAATTGAAATAATGAATGTTCTTTGCATGTTCTTTGCATGTTCTTTGCATGTTCTGTTTGTTTTATTTCGAAAAATGAAAATCGGCACGGAGAGAGCGGAATACACGCCGAGCCCGTTTATCCGAGAGCTGTTCCCTCAACTCTGCTCCAATTGGTCAATCTCAATACAAGCTTCCTGGGCCACCGTCACCGGCTATTTCGGAAAGGGAAAGGGAAAGGGAAAGACCAAGCAAAACACAAGGACAAACTGACACACTTTGAATCCATTTTGTCTAGAAGGTACGTGGTAGCAACAGCCATAATGAGGCGTAAGTGAAGTGTGAGGATTTCCGGTACATATTGTATTACGTATCCTGGGTAACGTTATCCGGATATCCTCCTTGATTTTTTTTATATTGTTTATATTATTCTTCCTTTTCTCCTTCAGAAAAAAGTATACAAGCAAGGCTGACTTTGCCATCTTACCCAGCCTTTCTTTATACTCACCAGCGTGCTTGTTCGTGGTTAGAATTCGTACTCGTACAAACAAACGCGCGGGGATACCTTGCTTGCCACTATTTGCAACTGCGGAAAAACAGCTCATACAATTGCAATTCTTGATTAATACAAAAGAAGGTTTGGAATGACGAGTCTACCCTAACAGAGCTATACCTCTATCTTTCTGTCTTCCGAGCCAACTTGACTTCCTTTTTCACTCAAAATAATCATCAAATATACATAGACATGCCATCACAATATCAGAAAGATGTCTGCCAATGTACCAACAGTCAACGATTCTCCTCAGTCTTCCTCGTATTTTCAATAATCTTTCCTAAATTCTCCTGCGCACAGATCCCAAACGCAGTGCCAACGACATTCATCACTTCAGCTATCCCTCCATCATCTACCCCTCACATCTCAAATCTCCGTCGACAAATCTCCTCCAGTACAAATCCTGACGGAGAAGATTCATCAAGACATGTCTACAACTACTATTTCGTAATAGTCGCTGTTTTCGTAGTGATCGTCTTCTTTCTTCTCCTATATATTACCCAACGACGAAAACGAAAGGCACTACTCATACGAAATAATGGTCAGACAGCTTTGGCTCGCGATGTACAATCATTTGCAGATTTTAGAACAAGATTTGGACCGAGAAGAGCGGGAACGGGGCTGATGGGTATGACGATGGGATCTGTGGCCGCAAATAGAGAAAGACAAGAGGGGTTGGATGAGAGGGGTGAGGCGCCCCCGGCTTATGTGGAGGGCGACAAACCGCCGAGTTTGAGGAGCGAGGATGGGGTTACCATGGTGGTTTCTCGCGAAGATCATGCCAATGAAAATGGCGCATCTAGTGTGTCGGCTGTGGGGGCGGAGACTACCAACAATTCTTTGGAACGAAATATATCGAGTGTGGAGTCGAGACTATCTGCGGAGCTTTCCCGACCTAGCGCTACGACTGCGAGTAATTCAGCAAGACGGACATCGATAGGGGGATCATCGACACCAATTACAAGCGCAGCAGATTCGAGTGAAGAGGTGGGATTGAGGCCATTGAGTCGAAGTACATCGGCGCGTCCACCGTTAGGACCGCCCACATATTCGGAGACCTATCTAGGCGGGCAACCCGATATTACGAGACCAGCTGCCGTGGTGACCCACAACTGATTTTGTTCAAATGGGTGATTGATGAGTGGAATTGGAACTTCATTTGAAATGTGGTGTGAACAGTGATGGAAGTAAGATGATTGAATTCACACACAAACGATTTTCATATTGGATGTTTTATATGGGTTATCATAGAACGGCAGCTCGACTAATGAGGATACGGACGGCACGGTGGGATTGGATGAGGTTCTGGGTATGGAATTGTATATGGAATCCACAGGATGCGAGGGCTTTGCGAAGGCGTATTTTACGATTATGAATTTTGGGTTATGAAGGATCATTGCGATGTGGTTATTGTGTAATATAGTCGTGTCTTAATATGTATATCAAGGTCAACAACTTTCTGATTCTAAAATGAGTTATTGACTAGATGTCTAATGATTTATGGTATGAGGGATTAGAACGCATCCGCATATTCTAAATTCGCCTTCTCTCTCCTCCTAATGCGAGTAGTTCCTCCTTAGTACACCTCTATTGCCCTCGTCTGGAAGATGCGGCTATCAACACTACTGAGGACTCAGCATCTCACCTTTCAAATTTCACATTCCACAGCCCTTGAAAAAACAATCAACCCTCACACCGATCCCCGTAAACCAACATTCAAACCCTAGTACCCACCAAAATAACAAAATATATCCGTTCCCCTCACAATGATGGCTCTTCGTTATATATAATATAATGTATACATACTAAATAGGTACTATTACAGCGCCCCCCATACTCCCATACTCCCATACTCCTCCACATTTCTAATTTTTCGCTTTGAGAGATTTGAACGATTCAACGAATTTAAATGGTGGAGATATTGAAATGCAGGAGATTGAAATGTAGTGGGTGGGATGGGATTAGAAGAGGGGGAAGTGGAGTGGATGGGTGAAAAGGGGCGGAGAATAGATAGGCGAAAGGCGAATTAAGGAGGTGGGGAAGTGGATCTTTTGGGGGGGAAGGGTGGAGGTGGAAATGGATGGGGATTTGGGAATCGATTTGGGGATTGTGAGTTGGGAATGGATTTGGGGATTATGAATTGGGTTGGATAAATAGATGGATAGAAGAGTGGATAGAAGAGTGGATAGAAGAGTGGATAGAAGAGTGGATAGAAGAGTGGATGGATGGTTGGTTGGATGGTTGATGGAAGGGATAGGTAGGTAGGGAGTGTTTGTGGGGTGTATCGGTTATGTGAAGTAAGTGAAGTGAGTGAATGGAGTTGAAAGTGGAAGCTAAGGATTGTTGTGTTGGCTGTTGGTTTCTAAAGAGGTAGACATTAAATCTTAGGTGGCGGAGATGGATTGGAAGTGGAATAGTGCGGTTGGGTAGAGGACATAGGATATCAAGATCTTTCTCGGGGTTGTAGAGAGAGAGTTTTTGGTAAGCAGAAGGAGGAATGGAATGTATGCAGAGAGTTTTTCTGATATGTCTTGTACTTGGTTGGTAGACATGGAGTAGTGAACTATGAAGAGTATGGGTGGGATTTTATATCTAAGATAGACTATTTTTCAAGTAATGGAATGGTGGTGGATTTATGGATATCACTAGGTTCAGACATGTGTGGTAAGGAGAGGCAATGCTGAAGAGATTGCGTATGGTTCTCGTATGGCTATTGTGTGGCTGAGGTTATATACCAGTCACTTCGGTTCTGTAAAGAGGGAATCATGTGCATGTTAAAACATAGGTAAATTCATTGAGAATTATGAAATCAGCTAATTCCTGAAAACGATTTGGTCGTTGGAGAAGAGTGTGTTAGATGTAGGAATTACAGATGATGCTTTGCTACCCCCATCCTCCGATAAATTCAAAGTGTTGCTTGTCCTCGTCATTCTTAAAGTCCCATGTAAGATCTTGTGACTCAAGTTCTGCCAGCCTTGCCCTTGCCTTTTGTTTCTCTGTTGTCAGATAGAGGATGTAGTTCTTCCAGGGTTTGCTCGGTGCGAGAGGCAATTCTTTAGCGACGAGATTCTTGCGCATAAGACGATCTTCGAGTAGTAGGTGAAAGGTATTTCCATGGTAAATGTGTTCCAAATGGACGGCTTTGTCGAAGGTATTATGGCCTCCGGGTAAAAAACATTGCAAATAGGATAATCTCACTCTCCTAAGGGTCAAATCACTCTTGATTCCACCAAAAACTTCTCCCCAGTCGATGACAGGTTCTTCTAAGAAACAAAACATGAGCGTTAGGCTTCTCAGAGTTCTGGCATGTCTTCGAAGAAACTCGGTGAGCGATGATTTACTGCCCGCCATACACCAGAAATCCAGGCTTTTCAAACATGGCATTGTTAGACCCACTATGATTTCGTCCCAGTCGATTCTCGTCGAGTCCGTGATAGCACAGTTTTCTGTGATGAAGAGATATTCGAGATTGGATGTAGCTTGTAGTAGTTGCTTCAATCCATGATTAGAATTGGAAGAAGGATTCTTTATATCCTAGAGATCAAGATGGCGAAGATACCGAGCATCCGGCCCATATGGAAGTATGGTGTTTACGCCAATAGAAGCACCGAATAGGGTATTTATATTAAATTCTTCAAGGCAGAGATGCTCTAACTTCGTACCAGCGTTAGCAGCAGCGGCGAGAAATATTGAAGCTTCTTTGTGATACCTCGCATCATGACACATACTGTTACAGAAAGCTGGCGGAGGCTTGACATCCAACAGTAAATGATCAGATTGTTTAGATTCACACTCTATCACAGTGAACCTTTTCAAGGAGCTGAGTTTTGGCAGCACTTGTGAAAATACGAAACTACTGTATTCGCTCTTCACCATCAAGTCTTGTTCTTCACAAATCTTGTTGCGAGCTTCGAAGCCACGAACCTTCTTGGTCAGGGACTCCGATCCTGGCTGTAATTCCACTTCTCTCAGGACACGGTTGTAATCATCTTCACCAATTGCCCTCATTCTCAACGGATCGTAGTGTATAGCCAGGACACGTTTCGACATCCTGGGATATTTTGAGATATATAGTAGTTTTTCGAAACTCTCTCTGGTGAATATTACGTTTATATTTTCGACGAGACGATCCATACCAGCTGCGGCGCAAACATTGCTTATTAATCGAAAATTAATTACATCTTTTTGGGGGAGGCAATCGCAGATAGCCTTGATGGGTAAAACCTCAGCAAGTGAAGGGCCAAACCCATCTTTTGCATTCGTGCTCATTGTGGCACTAAGGTGGGTAGGAAATTTATTACCATCAGATACAGTTTCTAATTGTCTGCTTGTTGGCAGAACATCCATCCCTTCAACAGACATCGTGTGTATGTGCAATTGACGTTTTTGACTCGAACATCTGTTAGACCTCAGGATGAGAGATGAGGAGAAATGTGAAGTTGGATATGAGAGACAACAGAGTCTTGATCAGAGTGTCTACAATAGGCAAATATCCCCCGAAAAACTTGCTCAGTTAGATAGACTGTAAGAAAACGAGGTTACTATGGTTGTGTTGAGTTGAGGATGTAGACTGTACTTTCGAAAGACTTATCCACAGGAAGAAAGTTCACCTACAACTTCATACCACGGTACAAAGTGAGACCATGTGAGCGGGGTGAATACTTCATTCCACTTCTGATGAGTATTCAAACACCCGCAACATTCGATTTTAGTATCGAGGGGCTTCAAGGCTTTCGGGGGAACCGAGTCAATGTTCCAATTCCAAAATATCATCCTACTTCTATCCGTCAGACCATTATTGAATCTGGATCTATTCAGAGATTCATTCTCGTAGTTCCAATGGTATCGAATGATGTTACCAAGGCTTGAGCCTAACCAACAGATAGCAAGTATGAGAATATCTTGTATTCATCTTGAAGCCGTTGCATGAGTTCAAATACCCATTATTGATCGATGCTGCAATCTTTGGCATTGCAAACTTCAGCAATTCGTATTGTTTGTAAATAGGAAAGAGTAAGAACATCTGCAAAGAGTTAAAACACTCAGATTCCAATCCTGTCCCAATTTCACTGAAGGCATGTTTCCAGGATTCAGCACATCGATGAAATTTATACAGTACAGAACTGGTCGTCGCGAGTGAGAAATCCAGACAAATATTGATCGACACCGCTTTCCGCAAGTGTATTCTGCCACCAGCCAAAAACATGGATGTGAGTGGCAGCGACGTGAAATGTTGAGTAACCAGAAGTCATTATTTCTCAGAGTGACTCATCCTCACTCACTCACGTATCCTCTTTCGACCGTCATCTCCGCCGAATCTGGCGCATCTCTTCCCCGTTCTCCTCGCCTGCCGCATTTCGGCGGAAACTTGACCATGACACCAAACTTATCATATAATATCCAATTCATCTCAAGATCCTTTCCTTTTGATACCCAAATATGCACAAGCATGCTGACTACACGTAAATCAAATGAAGGTTCTTTGACCAGAGCGGTAAGTTGAGGTCGGACAGATGTAAGCGCTTGAAACTTGGCTCAATTGGTAACCGTTTGTTGGGTTATGGAATGCACTTTTCAACATTCTACAAGATTTGGTGAAGGGTTCGTTGTGATTCATCGGCGGAAGTATTGCCAGAGTGTGTCAGCGCATATACCGACTACTCTGAGTTCAAGCCGTCTCCGTCATACCATCTCTGCAAGGCGGTCTTATGAAAGGGGGTTAACGTCTAATACACGAGTGTGAGTGAGCTCGAGTGAAATGAGGAAGGAGGCTTTGTATAAAGGGGATCCCGTGTTTGCTATGATGAAAGAAAATACTTTAAATATCAATCGGGTTCACTTTTATCCATTCTCATTACTTCTTCGAATTTGAATTGCCATTGACTTACGATTGTTCATTCTACCTTGATAAAGATAATACAAAAATAATTTTACTGTCTCGAGACGACCGAGCAAAAATGGAAACCTCGAGGCCAACGACAGTGGTCTCTGATACCGACTTGGAGAAGAGTAGGGCACCTTCGATTAATGATTCGACATCGCGAGAGAAAAAGAACAGCACAGGTGGTGCGGATTTAGAAACTGGAGAGGTTAACAACAATGGCCAGGCGGTGGATGGTGTAGAGTATCCAAAGGCTTTTGCAATGGTGATGATAGTGACTGCTTTATCACTCAGTATCTTTCTTGTCTCTTTAGACATGACGATTGTGGTATGTATATCTTCTCTCCCTTTTGCTTTGCAGTCATCATATAGTCGAGTGCATAGCTAATATAATTCCAGGCGACAGCAATTCCAAAAATCACCGACCAGTTCCACGGCTTAGATCTTGTCGGTTGGTATGGTTCTGCATTCTTCCTCACACTCGGCTCCTTTCAGTCGACATGGGGAAAGGCATACAAATACTTTCCGCTGAAGATAACCTTCCTCATTGCCATCTTCATCTTCGAACTCGGGAGTTTAGTCTGCGGTACGTTTTCTCAAGTTCCGAATCGTAGCACAAACACTAATTCGAAAACTCGTAGGTGTCGCTCCAAATAGTACCGCTCTAATAGTAGGCCGAGCCATTGCTGGACTTGGTGGTGCTGGAATTGCCTCTGGAGCATATACAATCATCGCATTCGCAGCACCTCCCTCCCAACGCGCAGCTTATACAGGTATTCTAGGCGCATCTTATGGGGTGGCATCCGTAGTAGGGCCACTTCTCGGAGGTGTGTTTGCAGATAAATTGACGTGGCGTTGGTGTTTCTACATTAATCTGCCGATTGGTGGACTCGCAGGGGCTATCATCCTATTCCGTGAGTATTAGATCAGTTTCCCATATTCTGCATCTCAAACAATACAGGCGCTAATACATTACTTTCTAGTGTTCACTGCACCTAAAAATGCAGTTCCAACTCCTGCTACTCTGAAGGAAAAGATCTTACAAATGGATTTCCCAGGAACCTTTACAATCATGGCCAGTCTCGTCTGTTTCTTCCTGGCTCTTCAGTGGGGTGGTCAGACAAAAGCCTGGAAATCTGCCGATGTTATCGGTACTCTCATCGGCTTCGTTCTTCTCCTCATCCTCTTCATGATGATCCAATACTTCCAAGGCGAGCGTGGAATCATAGTCGGTCGTTTATTGAAAGAACGTACAGTTTCTGTAGGAATGGTATATGTATTCTTTCTCTGCGGTGGATGGTTCCTCCTTCTCTACTATCTCCCCTATTACTTTCAAGTCGTCTCTGGAGTTTCGGCGTCTCAATCTGGCGTGCGAAATCTGCCAATGATTATCGGTACCACCATCGCAACCGTTGTTTCCGGAGGATTGATATCTGCATTTGGCCATTTGTAAGTTTCATCTTAACATACCATCTTCCCAAAGTCCCTCCTCTACTAATACATTCCCCTAGTGTTCCATTCATGATCATCGGCGCCGCCGGCGCAACAATAGGCTGCGGACTCCTCTATACCCTCGGCATCGACTCCACCTCCGCACAATGGATAGGCTACCAAGCCCTCGCCGGTCTCTCCACCGGGTTCGTCTTCCAAATCCCCGTCATCTCCGCCCAAGCGACCGTTTCCCAAGCCGATCTCTCTTCCGCGACAGCGATGGTGTTATTTCTGCAAACCATCGGCGGTGCATTCTTCATCTCCATCGCGGAAGCGGCGTTCGCAAATCGTATCTTACATGCGCTTCCTCGGTACGCACCCTCGGTATCCCCAGCCCAGGTATTATCAGTGGGGGTTAGCGAATTGAGAAATGTGTTTGGAAAAGAGGGAGAGTTGATTGAGGGGATTATAGAGAGTTATTTGCAAGGAATAAAAGTTACATATGCGTTGGCGATTACGTGTTGCGGAATCGCAACGTTTGTAGCGTTCGGAAGTCACTGGCCGTGGAAGAACTTGAAAGGGAAGGCATCGATGGGTGGTGCTGCTTAGTTTGGGAATTAATAAGTAGATTACACGCAGGTAATTACTTATCAAAGGACTTTTTTTTACAAAGTTAATAGATAGGTTAATGACGAGGACTAGAGATATAGAATTAGGCATACATAGATTGCTATGATGTAAATGAGTAGCTCTTTTTGATCGAAATATTATCATACTCTCTCTTCTCTCAAAATTCATCTGTACAAAATCTATAACTAATATGTACATACTCACTGATGGGTATCTCTCCACTACTCCCTCCCTCTTCACAATTCCTAAAAGCTTTTTTACGGTCATGTGTCTCTCCCAGTAATTTGTTCAAGAGAGACGTCGGACGTCAGACTAACCACCAAAAGGGACGTTAGACTCTTGATAGCATGAAGCTAGTAACAATAGCTCCAACGATCATGACGCCCACTAATTTTTTCCCACGAGCAATTACATTTAGAAAAAAAAGAATTAGTTCTCGATTCCATTTCCTCCTTCATTTTTATTTCATCTCAGAGATCCCAAGAGCAGCTATAACTTTTCTTACCATTTAGATTTATTCATCCATCTTTATATTGGATATCCATCTTAGATTATCATATAAACTCGAAATACTTACAACTAGATATAGAAGAACTGACCACCTATCTAGAATACAAAGAACTTTCGAGACTTCGAAATTCGTATTCAATTCATATTCTTCATCTGAAGAGCGAACAACCATACATATAACTAACATCGCATAAACCTCATAACCGAGCCGACGAGATTTCCACCCTCCGCAAATCCTCATCTCAAACCGAAACAATGAGCGAAAGAAACGCTTCCGTTCCGGAGAACAACCCGGAGAACAATCCGGGTACCCCTCCCCGCAGTCCCCAGGCGGCGCCGCCCAACCGATTCGGTCCCCTCGACCCCCTCGACCCCCTCAACGAACAAGACGCCTACGACATGACGCCTCCCTCCTCCCCTCCTCCCCCCTACTCCCCCGCTCCACCCCCATACGTCCTCTGCACCTGCAGCTCGTGGGAAACCCCCAACACCCTCGAAATTCTCGGTTTCAACCCCGCCCTCTGCCACGAAATCTGGCGCAAATGGCAGCTACACAAGCGCCGAAACCCCGAGATTTACCAGAACTTGGATGCGCAGTCGCTCCTCTACTGCTATTTCTCCTTCACCTTCCAAGCCACCCAGCTCCCGTTCGTATTCCCCGGGTACGATCCTCGTCATTATCACGCGGAGATGTGTGTGTATTTGCAGAGGTGGGGAATCCGTTGTAATCCGTATTGTACACGAGTATGGAACGAAGAGGAGAGAAGAGCGATATGTGTTGATGCAGCGGCAAGGTGGGTGGTTCTGAGTTTGAGCGAATACTGCTTGGGTCACCCACCACCGAGATTTGTTTGGGGTGATATGGATCTTCGCCGACTTCAAAGCTTGTGGTGGATGACGAGTGCTGCGAGAGCAGTACTCTGAGGAGATGTTGAGGAGCGTGCGCATACTCGTGAGATAATCATCGTCTCATCGACCGCAAATATAGCTAACACCTGCGTAGTGATGCTTGTTGCAATACTGTAGATCTCCTGCGAGCACTGGCGTTGTAAAGCTTAAAGCTATTGGTCGCTTAACACACATGCCAGTATCGTAGTTTGCAGTCAGAGCCGCTACGCCCTATCGTATTAGCGACGATTTAATTTGAAACGGGATCAAGCAGAAACCCATACGAACTAAGCCAAAGCAGGATTAGGTATAAAGTTGGCATACCCTTTGGCATGTGGGACTGCGTCGCTTATCAACAAAGACTCTTCTGCGAAGAAAAACAGAGTTCTCGCCTCCCCACGCCGTGCCAGTACAAGCGGTCCCAGCGTCGTATCCCAGTCTCAACCACAATCCGACAATCAAAGCCCTCCAATCCTCGAATCCCATCCAGGCCCTCCTCAAATCATCCAAAAGATCGAACAAATCTCGAACATCGAACTACTTTCAAATATTCAAATACTCTCAAACGTTGCCAGCTCCTAAATACCAGACTGCGATACGGACTATCGCAAACAGACACCCACAATTATAACCCTATATATATATATTGAAGATGTCAATGATTTTGGGAGCTGGAGTATTTAGAGGAACGATATTGAATATATATAGGAAACCGACATTTCGGGATGGAATGAATATAAGAGGAGAAAAGGAGTGATCTTGAGAGGTGAACTAGTCGAGAATCATATATCGGATGGATCTGGACTATTGGTATTGTGTCTGAGAGGGGGGAAGGTTGAAACTTCTACTTCATTGTACACCCACTACTTGTTTTTTTAAAGGTATTAGGTAGTTGGATACAATGAAGAAGGATACAAGGAAGAGAGCGAAGAAGAAGAGAATACTACTGGCAGACTCCTGCTTTATTGTAAATCCACTATTTGTTGTTTAAAGGTACTAGGTAGTTGGATACAATGAAGGAGTGAGGGAAGGAACGAAGAATGAAACTGGCAGATTCGCGGACAGAGAAATGAGTTGAGACTGTTGAGAATGATATAGAATATAGAAATCAAAGCAATGAATTTTGCCAAAAAAGGTTGATAGTATCTTCCCCAAAGCTTATATGAAAAAAAGTATGCGCCGTGTGTCCGGGCTAGATACTCATTGTCACTCGACAGAGAGTACCAGGGTATTGTATCTGTATTTCCTTCCGAAAGAAGAAGCACAACCCCTCTCATATCCAAAATCTCCATTTCATCTTTCATTTTGTTTAATTCATCATCATTATCATGTTACCCAATCCCCAATGTCTCCCCCCCCAAGAATCAAAAGTCAAGAAACGCCAGGTATAAACAATCTCTTCCCTTTCTCTCTCCCTCTGTTCACCCCCTAACTCTCCACACTCAACACCTTCGCCCCAACCAATCTTCCCCCCTCAACCCCCACGACCCAATACTCAACTCTTGCTCCCTCCCCCGATACCATATAAACCCTCACATCACTCCCCTTACTAGCATCTCTCACCGCTTGCACAATCTGTTTGTATTGTCCCTGCGGATCCCACTCCCCAATATCCATAATCCGTATTTCTTCCGCTGCGTCTGCCGGAGCAGGATGGGCTATGAGTTTCGCGAATGTTTCTACTTCACGTTAGTACAGATACCAGGTGTTTTCCGAACTCCTCAATGAAGAGCAAGAAGACAAACAAACCTTCATCTGGCATTCCACCTTCACATTTCAGCGCCACAACAACAAAACGTTCGTCGGTATCACTGGTGTACCACGCATCCTTGGTTGCTCTAACCAACACGCTAGGTACATCCACATCATCATCCATTGTCTTGAACTCGGCTTTTTTATTATTGCTCGTAGCTTTTGATGTGCCGGCACTGGGATCCTCGTTGGCTTTATTGAGGAACGCCATGTAATCTTCGTCTGACATGTTGTCTGTGTAGTCGTTCGTTCGTTCGGATAGTATTCGAGGTTGTGTACTTGCGTGTATTTCCTCTGGAATTTTATTCTCCTTCGTATATTTGAGGATCGAAGAGCTATGCAAGAAACGTTGCTCAATTCTATATCTCCCCTCAAATCCAGGCTCTCGAATTCGTCCTTGACGAGACAACAAAGCAAAAGGAATCGCAAGCTTGATTTTTCCGTCTACGCAATAACCTCTACCTACTGTGTAGCGTCCAAAGCAAAATCTCTCTGCGACGTCGTCCTTAACCCCGTCGACAATTTCTGCAACGAAGCCCCTTCGATTTCCTTTCCCTTTCCCTTGTTTATTACTGCCTTTCCCAAATCTGCCTCCAACTCTGCCCGAGGCGTTTCGAACGATGGTAAATAACCTAATGATTGCGATCTTCCTTTTTCTGGACTAACTCTTTCTTCTAACCTCTCTGTTCTTTGTGTTCTTCCGCCCGTCTCACGATAAACACTCGGTGTGCGACTTCCCGGTGCAGATTTTGTTTGTTTGTTTACTTGTTTGTTCTTGTCTTTCTGTTTGCGACTTCTCTCAATAGATTCTTTGATGCTTCGATAAGGGATGGCGAGGACGGCGGAGAGTGCACCCATTGATATTGACAATGTAGTGAAACTAGTAAATAAAGCTAAGAAGAGAGGGGTTAGGGAAGGACCAGAGAATGTTGTGTGACTTCAGTGACGTGGGGTACTGGGAATCTCTCTTTTTTCTTGTTTGTGCAACTTAAGAATCTATATACAGGGATATTTGATGGGATGACAATTTTTACAATTGAAGAAAGATAGAGAGGAGCTGGGAGAGAAGGTAAAGAAAGAGAAAATTGCTTGAGATGGATTGATGAATGTACAACAACGTTAATTTTCCTGTAAAGAGATTTTATATAAGATCGAGGTACAGAAAGGCTGATTCAAGTGATTGCTAATGATAAAGCCAACTCATAATTGTTCCTAGGGTCTCAGTGAAAGGTTTGTTAAAATTTGTTGGAAAATACAAGGAAAAAAGGGGTCAAGAGGTCGGAGACAAGGTCCGTCAACTGCTATTCGTAAACATAATCAGATAAAGACCAGCTTGTAAAATTCTTTCACTATGTGGAAACCAACATTGCCCGTGTCATAGTTCTCAGTTCTCACAGTTGGCTATGCTCACCAAAATACTATCATAAGTTGAATCATTATTGAAATTATTGGATATCATTGACATTTCTTCATTGATGGAATGCTAGTATATCCATAGGTAATCATGGACTGCTTTATTGCACATATGATACCCCCACCGACTACACCTATCGAAACGTAAGAAACCCGAAATGCGAAACCAATTTTTAAATTTACGAGGATTGAGCAATGTCCTTCTTGAGAGTACCCAAGAATTGGTGCTTCTCCTCGGCGGTTTGGTAAGCACCGTGACCGAACTTGGAGGATGTATCGATCCATTTCAACTCAACCTTCTCCAAGGCCTTTCTTGAGGTGTGGACGAACATGGATTTTCTGAGAGTCATGACACGCTTCTTGACACCTGGAACGGAACCCTTAAGCATGATGAAGTCGTTCTTGACCTCACCGTATCTGACAAAGCCACCCATACTAAAATTATGTTAGTCGGTGTGCTACTGAAAATGGTGACTATCAAAACTTACGGGGTGATAGCCTTCTTCGAGACATCGAACTCGGTGGCGGCGTTGTTGGGGTCGTCACCACGTCCGATACGGTAGACCTTGTGGTTGCAAGAGGTACGATGATGGTATCCATCTTGACCAGCACGGGCAACAGTCCATTGGACGTGGGCTGGATGCCAGGCACCGATACAGGCGACCTTACGGAGACCCTTGTGTGTCTTTCTAGGAAGCTTCTTGGTTCCCCATCTGCTGGTGACACCAGAGAATCCGTGACCCTTGGTGACAGCGATGACATCAATCATCTCATCTTGCTCGAAGATGGAGCTGATCTCAACTGGCTTCTCGAAGAGACCGCTGGCGAAGTCAACCTTCTCAGCGACGCTACCTCCGTTAACTTGGATCTCCATCAAATGAGCCTTCTTTTGCTTGAGAGGAGTCTTTCTGATTTGGGTGTGGGCGAGGACACGGACGACGGTGCAGTACTTCTTGATGCGCTCGAGTTCACGGGTGATAGAAGATCCGCTGTTCTCGGAGTGCTTCTTGGCGTACTTGGTGAAAGCCTTCTTCTTGCTCTTGTACCAGTTCTTGTAGAATCTGCGCTTAACTTCGTCGCTCAAATGTTCGGCCCAGACAGTTGTAAGGGATCTGAGACCACGAGGAGTCTCAATGTAACCCACTAGACCAACAACGATAACCTAAAAAGATATTAGCCATTGGCTTAAGCCAAGCGGGCTGCGTTGCTCGTACCGGTGGTGTCTCAATGACAGTCACTGCCTCAACGACCTCCTTCTTGTGTGTCTTCGCACCAGGACGGTCGAGGTCGCGGACAATGGTAGTCATACCAGCCTTATAACCAAGAGTGGCAGTAAGGTGGACTGGCTTGGTCTTGTCATCCTTGGGGAAACTGTTTGCAATTGAGAAGTTAGTAAATGGTATCTTTTCTCAGAAAATAAATTTGCAGACGGATATAAATGAATTCGTAGAATCCCCAAAGTCGCAAGGAATGAAAATTGGGGTAAATGCTTCACCTCTTGACCTTTCCGCGGTGACGGCTTGCTCTCTTTCTTGGGAGATAAGCAAGAGATCCGTGACGGGGAGCTTCGAATTTACGGTGCGACATGTTGGCGGTGGTCGACTTCTTTAGGTGTTGAGGTTCAAGAGTTCAGAAGATTTCAATGAGAAAAGTTCACGAATATTGAGAGTGTGCGATTTCTCGGTTAGAATTATCTTAGCGTCCCAAAAGTGGTTTAGCGCTTAATTGAAAAAAAAAGTTCAGAATATTTGCCCCAGCGAGTCTTGGCATAAATAATCGAGACCCTTCAGTGCACGTGATCTGAATTCGCCTAGGTCTCTTGTCTCATGAAGCTTTGGAGAATTTTCGTACTGATAGATGTATTGGTATAC